GTCGGTGGACGGGCAACGATCTGACTGCCAGCTTGCTGCTGCTGCTTCTGCTGCTGCGGTTGAGTCTGAGGCTTGGCGAGGGTCTGAGCCTGGGCCTGGGCTTGCATGCGTGCGACAGCCTCGCGGTTGAGCATAGTAAGCCCAGGATGTGGCAGCATCGCCTGTGCGTCCACTTGTCTGCTGTCTGCTTCTCAGCACCAATGGCTGGATATACTGGACGAACGGCGGCGGCCGGAGCATTGGGTCTTGAACTCTGCGGCCCAGTTGGAAATGGGCTTGAGCATACCTGGGCTGCCTTCGCACACTGGTGTATACGAACTCTCGCACACAAACACGTCCTGTGGAGAATACCCTTCGGATATCGCGCGAATAGACAACAAAAGGCAGGATATAGCACTTTCCAACGACGCCACGTACGCCATGGCCTTTCGAATTTGGGCCAGCAAACAGCTCGTGGGGTACACATTCTGGCCAACCAGTTCAGGGATCTCTGATGGCGTCATGAACCAGTAGCCGTCAATGTACTTTCGCCGATCCTGGGGGCCGCCGACGCGCAGGTGCGAGACCATGGCGACCTTCATTGTGTTGTTGTTCTTTATGTAGATAAAGTCGCCAACATGCAGGTCGAGTTCACCGGCGGTGATCCTGCTCACATACCGCCCGTCCTCGGGGTCCTGATCCGAAGTGCGATGTGTCGAACGGGATCCTGTACTTGTCCAGGATCTCTCGCCGAACCCGGAAATACTCGCTTTCGAGGTCGACTGTGTCTTGGTAGATTTGCGACCCTGACTCGTTGAAGAACGTCGCGTTGTTGAAGATCCACATCAATGTCGTAGTTTGAACGCGTCGAAGCTGCGGTAGCCCTCTTTCGACCCAATCCGGCCGCTGACGATAGTCAAGGCCATCGGATTACCAGATGACCTCGTAGTAATCTGGGTACTTCGTCCTTATCAGGGAGCTCCTCAAACGGCTCGGAGATGGTATCGCCGTCCTCGTTTCTTAAAGTTTATGACGGCATCGACAATCTCTTTCATCGCCTCTTTCATCTGTGGGTGCGTGACCTCGGTGTAGCCAAAGCCGCCAATGAAGGGCGGTACCTGTTGCTGTCCTGAGGCAGGACTCGCTGGTGTCTGCACTGACTGGGCTGATTGCAGCTGCTGGGCATGGGTGACAGACAGCTCTGCAAGGCCCAGACTAGGCTGGACTGTGCCTCTGCGAGAGGATGGCTTTGGCGTATGCATGGGGCTGTCAACTGACATAGCCTGTGGAGAGGCAGCATCCACACCGGCGCTGTGAGACTTTGATTTCCGGGCCGATGCCTTGCGTGTCTCAGTGGCCGGTGCAGCTGCCTCGGGTATTGGCGTGGGCAGATCAACCTTGGAGCCGTCAGTGGGCATCAAGAACTCGGCCCACTTTGGGTTCTCTGGGTCCAGCACAATCTCAATGGGCAGCTGGCCGTGTGTGTTGCGAGCATTGACGTTGGCTCTGTATACGCGAACCAGGCACTTAGCCAGTCGCTTGCGGCCCGTGTATGCTGACCACGCCAGTGGCGTCGAGCCATGCATTGTGTCGACCGCCTCGAGATCCGCACCCTTGTCACAGAGCACCTGCCGCAACCTTCAACCGCCCATAGTATGAGGCGGCGTGCAGCGGCGCCCACGTGAAATTGGCGTCGTCGTCGGCATCCTCAATTGGCTCCTTCAGCACCACTGGCCGGCTGTTGTTGATTGGCAGGCCGGGAGTCTCCAGTAGAGTCAGCGCCTCGCCAAGTTCTGCGTCGTATATGGCCTGGAAAAGCTTGTCGAGTGTAGCTGCCAGTTCCTTTGACTCTGGGCGACCCTGCAGGCGGCGCCTTGCCCCTCATCGCCGGGTCAACCGGCTGCATGCCGCTGCCCCTTTTGCGCTTCAGCTTCAGCGTGATGCTCGGTGCCGGTGTGCTCTCGTTGTCGGTGGCAGAGTTGCTGGCTGTGGCCGAGTCCGGGTTGCGGATCGTCAGCTTCAGGTGTGGTGTCGGGCTTTTATCATTGGTAGCAGGTAGCTTAGCCGTCGCCTGCACCGACTGCGGAATCTCGATCCCAGCTATTTCATGGACCCGGTCGCGAATCTCGCCAGCAATGTTATAGATGTACGAGTCTGGCATGTTAAACTGCTGGGCGTTGCTACACATGAGATCAATATCTGCGACAAAGTCCCCAACCGCCTTGTACGCTCCCTTTGTGATCTTCGACTTCATCATGTCCAGGGCGATAGGCCGCTTGATCTCGACATAGTAGTCCGGGTACTCGCGCTTCGAGGGCAGCTTGTTAAACGCAAGACACATGGGCTCGCCGCTACAAAAATGACAAGTGGCACGGTAGAGGTCCTGGCAGAAATTAACAAATGGACAAATGAAGCTGCACATGACTGGTGGAGGGTGCAAAGCGACCACCGACAACGGGCATTGCAGCGCATGGCATGACACAGTGCATGAATCTTGCGCAGCAGCAAGGTTTGGGCATCGAGGCATAAAAATCTGGCCAAGAGCCCGGCAATCCTTGCAGGCCCATCCGCGACTCCAAATGTGTACACCTCAGGTCACGCTGCTGGGAGCTGCAGGACAGGATTACTCAACGTGTTCTACGTCACCACCGCCCTCGGCTGCCACCTTTAATCACTTTGCACGTGAGCAAAATAACGCGTATAGTGGCTAAAAACAAACCTCGCGGCAAGAGAACAAGAAGCAAGTGCCGGTGCAGTGGCAGAATCGCATCATTGTCGAGTGCACTCAGGAAACCGCACGCATGCGCGTTGCATACTTACTCCTTCTCCATCTCTTTGACAGCCTGGAACAGGCGTAGGCACTCTTCCTTTACTTTGGGCCGCCGGCGCCGAATCGCCTACTGGCATTGTCTCCGCATTGTCAGTCTCAGACTTGCGTGCCTTCCGCGGACGCCCACGCGATGCCCGTTTTGGCGATGCCGCCGGGCTGTTACTGTTCGCGTCGCCCTGTTCTTCGGCCTCTCTGTTGACTAGCCGCAATCGCTGTTGGCCCATGGAATGAAGCAGGTGTGGGAGGAATTAGAATGTAATGACTGTGCAGAGGAAGACAAAAGTATGGACGTGTGTGAGGACGATATGCGATTCGGTTGTGCTTCGAGCTATGAAATCCTTTTTTAAGAAAAGCACTCAAAAATTGCGAGCAAAGAAGAAAATAATGATCACTGCTTGAACGCTGGCTGTGACATCTCGTCCGGGACGCGACAGATTACCGTGGATCAAATTGGATCTGGCATATATGTGCTGGCCAATGCTGGCTGGGCAGTCAGGCCATATACGCAGTCCGTTTCCCTCGCCCAGTGCTTGGGTCGCTGTGGATGGCTGCCACCAGCTACTCATCTGGCCAAGACCCGCGCGTATCAGTATCAGAGCTATGAGCAGGTCTCGGCGGAGAATCCAGCTGGCTTTTCCGGTGACTGAGTCTGCACAGGGACTCCGCCTCAACAGCAACAGTCACAAAAATTCACTGGCAGAGCAGTTGCCGATGTAATCCTTACAGCATCAGCTGCTCAATTAACAGGGTGGCCGCAGTGCCAGACATAGCCTGACCCAGCTCGAGTATCGCAAGCGTGTGTCTAATTTCCAGACAGTTGGGGTGCATTCTCAGCTCTGCCGACAGGTCAGCTACTGTCGCTAATCATCAGACGTTTACCAGTCCGCTGGTGCATAGGCAATGGCCACCGGGGTATGCCTTAAAATACACTCCACCCGCCATTTCAAGCACCGGAAGTCCTATTTACCGTGCCAGCGTGCAATTTTTAATGACTGCAGCCTATTTCTGACTCATCGTGCATAATATGCGACGCTCGTGTGTTGAAAGAACCACTCGTGTGAGAAATGGCCACCAGACAACCTTTCACCAGCATACAAATGCCATGGTGCACGACTTTTGCAAAACAGCCATTGGTATCAACCTCAACACACCATTACTATCCCTTTCTCATATTGTAAAACTGGATCTAATGCAGGGCCACACCATCCGCAGCCGCTGGTGCTATGCTATCGTAATCTGGGCGCTAGCCGCCTGCGCTGTAGCAGCACCGATACATATTTTACTCCCTGACCAAATCACGCTGGCGGAGGGCAATATTGTCACCTTTTACTCGTCACACCCTGCTGGCCCACATGAACTTGGTTCAGATCCCAGAGATACCCCTTCAGTTTTGACTATTGACGGACACATGCTGATGCGGGCCATGGACACTGGGGGCGCCAGCAATGCCGAGGACAGCGACCTGCCTGCAACCAGCACCAACCCCGCTCCGGACAGAGAACATAGTGGCAATACACCCGACCCTCAGACTGCTAACCCTGAGACTGATTCCGATGATGATGACGATGACGGCGATGAGAAGCCCAGCCTATCCACTAATGCTGGTAAGCGGGCAAAGGCAGGACGCCGCATAGATATGTCTCTTGAAGACCAGTCCTTGGATTCGGCCGTCCAGGGCATGGGCGATGACGACGAGTCTCCAATTGACGAGGCAGAACGTTTAACTTCAGCCGACAAGTCCTCTCTCGACGACGTCATTGTTGATGCTCAGCTGTGGTCCAAGGGAGAAGCCTCGCCGACTAGCACACCTAAGTCTACCTGGAACACGGGTGATACTTTGGACGACGTTGTTCTTGATCCACATTCGCCATTTTCGACCGTATCCACCACCTCGCTCAGCGAAACTAGCCATACACGCACCTCATCAGTGTCGATCGAAACTGTCAACAGCAGCCCACCTCCAGGACTGCAAACTTCACGACAAACACCACTGTCATCAATACCGGTCTTGACATCTATTCCGTCGTCGTTCCCAAGTGCAGCCCCAGATGTGCCTTATTCCTCACTCAGCACATCTGCGTCGACTTCAGTGGCTTCACAGACATCTGACACATCTGGAACCACCGGTACATCGCAGTCGTCGGCATCAGTATCGACCACTCTAGCACCGTCAATCACTACTGTATCAAGTGTACCGGCACTTATTGGCGATATCCTGTCAATCCTGTCGACGGCCACCGGAAGGCCAGCATCTAGCGCTACATCTGCAACTGTTGCAGGCTCAACTCCAGCTCTAACCGCTTCATTGGTATCATCGACGCCGTCGCCAAATACTTCCTCACCTTCGGATAGCCCGTTGCTTGCAGCCTCATCGTCGCTGACAAAGCCTGCAAAGGCAGCACTATTGGATAGCTCCAGTACCCAGGTGAGCCAACAGAGCAGTTCAGCGCTGTTGGGCTGGTTCAACGGCCTGTCTCTGTCGCCAGCATCTACTTCCCCATCCGCTGTATCTGTCCAATCGTCGACAGCCCCCGCTATGTTCCCTGTGCTTGCCACTCCCTTGTCGACATCGATTTCCCCTAGCCTTTTTGCCTGGCTAACCCCTGGAAGCTCGGCTTCGGTATCTGCAGCATCTCCGACAACAGCCATGTCATCCACGGTATCTTCACCTGTACCAGGTATCTTTGGATCGTTCTTGTCAGCATCGCCAGCGGCCTCCACATCATCTGCGTTGGCTGCATCGGGGTCGAAGTCGGGTGGGATATTCAGCTGGCTCAGCGCTACTCCACCGGCCCTCCTTGCCAGCATCGACATCAACATCTGCTCCACTATCCAGCATCAGCGCAACTGGTAGTCTGGAAACAACCTCGAAATGGCCTGGGCTTTTTGCAGGTGCCAGCTCATCTGTGGAACCGTCAGCACCTGCCCTTTCCAGCTTGGCTGTGTCATCTGCTCCTATGCAGCTTACAACGAGTGCTAGTCAGTCTGTAGGCACTTCGTCTGCTGGTGCCTTTGCTTGGCTCAACGCCTCAGGTTCAATCTCGGCTGTCTCTTCAACCATGTCTTCTGCAGTGTCGTCGCTCTCTATTACACCAGCCTCGTCGTCGTCTGCCCCCCTATTGGCAACTTCATCGTCACCTATACCACTCCTGGCAACCACCACTGCTGATGCGCTGCCAACACTAGTTGCACCCATCCCACTACAGTCACCCTCAGTGTTACCCCTCACACTGATACCATCTACATCCTCTCCCTTGGTTGCAAATGGCTTAACTGTTGCCTCGTCGTCGCTCAGTGCACATGTAATCACGAACAGCGCTCTACCTGTGTCTATCACACCAACAGCAACAGTGACATCCTCACTACCCACTCCGATCAGTATGGCTGCCTCGGCTGAACTCCGTTCGGACTGGCCCTCGCCTGCAAGCTTGCCATCAGCATCAGCAGTAAGCACTATTGCGAATGCGGTGCTGCAGTCTGTCGGATCCATTGCAATGGTGTTCCCAATCACCACATCGATTCCACTGCTCATTGCTTCGGTCCGCCCCAGTGTGGATGCCCAGATCACGTCGCCATCGGCGTTAGCCGAGGGTATGCCAGCGCTTTCCTCGGTGGGTGCTGAGAAGGTGCTGCCGATATGGCAAGTTGATTCTACTAATTCAGCACCAGTCACTGCACCGTCTAGTATTGCGTTGGCGAGCTCAACAGGGTCCAAACCAGCACCGCATCTGCCAGCGGATGACATTTTCTCGGCCATCCTCATAAGTCCTACCTCAGTCGTTGGTTTGCAGTCCACAAGTGCACCGTCGGTTGACAGGGCCAGTGTACTTGCAGAGTCAGCCACACCCACTTCACCATCAACGCCTCCAGTAGTCGATTCCTTTGCTTCATGGCCATCGCCAACACCGGCTACTACGATATCGCTGCCGACCTCGTCAGAGCCCTCAGAATGGTCTACTGCTGCATTTAGTAGCTGGTCATCAAGCCCTGCTCCTGGAGAATGGTCAAGCCCGGCATCAACGCAAGTGTCATCGACACCATCGTCATGGTCGTCACCCGCAATACCCTTGACATCATCAGTGCCGCCTGCATCAGCATCGGCACTGGCATCCAGCTCGCTATCCAGTACCAGCGCCACACCTCCCTCAGCAGTTTCTACAGATGGTGCCCAGCTCGGCTCAGCATCGTACATGTTCTCAACTCGCCTGGCAAGCAAGGTCGTGCTCAACTCGAATGACATCATCCAGATAGTGGTCAGCCATCCTACGTCCGACGAATCTTTCCCGCAAGCGGCTCTGCAAACAACATCAATAACCATGGCAGACCTCATTGATGCACTTTCAGGACCTACGCGAGCCACTGTTGCGGCCAGCCCTGAAGCAGCTCCCAGCCCGACACCCACCCCGGTTTCGCGGCGTGCTGGAACAGAGCTGGCGGAGAAATCCGTTGCTGGCGAGGCAAAAGAAGCCGCCCGCGAGCTAGTTCAGCTGGCACACTCGATTCTTTCCAACGTGCAAACAATCTCTGCGCCTACACCAGCGACATCGAGTGTGCGCGGCCTTGGAGCGTCCCAGGCCCGTATGATCCGATCCATGCTGAACCAAAACTTTGTATTCCCCGAGTATGTCCCTGCTCCTGGGGTCCCTCGGCCGACACATGCCAAAATCTACGCTGGTCAGGGCTATCAAGGTGAATGTGCTGCCCCTAGCTCACCGCCCTACAACATCATCATCCGCCCTACTGTCACAATGACTACACTCACTAACATGACAGTCACGCAGAGCCTAGTATCGACCACTACTACGACCACCACGACCACAACTGGGGTGACTATTACTCCGGTACCGACCGTGATAAGTGTTGCCAGCACGAACACAGTCACTGCATTTGTGGCGGTTGGGGTTACTCCAACACCCACCATAACGACGACGATGCTGACCCTGACAATTCCATCCGGAGGAAGCTCTTTGACCACAACGACCACACCGACAGCGACAACACCACCGACAGCGACAACAACACCGACAGCGACAACAACACCAACTACTACAACTAGCAGCACTTCAACCACACCTTAATTTACAGGGGCGTGCTTTATGCTTTTCTCCATGCTTGCTTCATCAACGTGAGGCAGTGAGGTTTGAGCCGTCAGACCATATAATATTTGTTTCTATAGTTTTCACTTTTCCAGAGCCCAAGCGGCTGCAATAACTTGAGCCAGATTGTGCTCGAAATTCTACCAGTATATTTTTAATACATCACCAGAATATGCCACAGCATCGTACCCCGATCCTATCTGACACCAAAGCACGGATCTGCTCTGCGACACCACTGTGCAATGGGGCCCAAAGTGAGTTGCTTTGCTTTGTGTCAGACCAGTGTGGGAATAGCGCAAAGGGAAGCCGCATCAGACAATTGATACAACAGGAGGCTCTGATGGTGTGGCAATTTTTTATCATCGTGTAGAGGACATTATGCGAGCATATTGCCTGGTGAAGTATATAAAATCCTGCTGCCGCTGTTGGCATCGTTTTTTCCTCCGTTCAATTTTTCCTCATTTCACTCGCCTGCACTTTTCTGTTCACCTTCAAATGGGTCAATACTGGAATCTCATATGCATGGATAAGCAGCAGGCTACCGGCCATCTGGGCAAGATGGGAGAGCTGCTGTTTAGGCGCACTCCTGACAAGCTGGTTGATATTTTAACCACTGGTGTCTTTCAGAGGCTTACTCCTTTGTTGCTACAGGCAAGTGGGCGAGCAGGGAAATCGTCAATGGAAGGCATGCTGCCAGAGATTCAGCTCCGCATTTGCTCGTTCCTCGGATCGATGGATGACTTGTTGTGTCTTGCCTTGTCATCCCGCCGTTTTCTTGATGCGGTACAGCAGAGCATACTGATACTGGAGGAAGCGGTAGTAGCGCCATGGGCCGGCAAGCGCATCATCTGTATAGGCGATTACGCGGATGATCTTCCTGAGGATTTCTTGACTGATCGCGAAAAAGCCATGATACCAAACAATCTCTTGTATCGGTATGCAGACCGATTCACTCGCCCATCACCTACCAGTGAAACGAATGTTGGATACTGCCTACGCGCATACATGTATTTGATGGGGTCGAACTTGAGCACGGGGATGAAGAAGGAGTTGAAATCTATGTGCTTTACGCCGCTTATCGACCCTGTGCTGCGAAACCTGACAACAAAGGAGTACGTCCGCAGTACTGCAGTCCCGAGTGACATCAATTTCGGACACATACTGCTTCTGAAGATCTGCTGGACGTCTGATCCATCCATGTCCCTTGGGTACAGAGGTGATGAGGATTTTCATCGGGGAGCATGGGCCGGCCATCGGTTTGACATAGCATCGCCCGAATGGGTCGACAGCACCTGGAAGGACGTCAGCGACGCTGTAGTGCCTAAGGTTGCTGCAATTTTTCGCGCAGGATAGCATGCGACACACGTGCCACTGGGTCGCCGCCTGCTACTCTGCCTGTAGTTTGGGTGCCCAAAGCCTCTTTTAGCTTGCGCTGACTAGTGAATTAGGGCATTTTACGTGGGAATTGAATGGAAGCGGCTCTTGCATAGATCCTTCGGGTGTTGTACGGAGAATTTACTAGATACGCAATTGGTGTTGGAAGGTGCCATGGCCAGCATAGTCACTACAATCCGCCTTATGCCTTCAGATCTTGAGTGGCCAGTAGCGTCACTATGCTCAATTTCTTGTGTTTTATTTCCATGCTACTCCCTATTAACGAATTAGCACACTATGTGCCGTCTCCATCTTGTCATCTACTTTGTAATCAATGGTGTGTAGTAACGCTGCTGGGACCTGGTCAGTCGAGCGTCGTCGTGGACATTGGTGCACAATTGGCAAAGGAGGCAAACAGAGACCACATCGCCGAGTGCCATTACAGCCAGCAGTGATGTAGGCGTTGTCACCTTATATACTCTTTTCCTTGCATTTCTACTTTCCTTTCATATTCTCATCTCTGGTATTTGTGTAAGGGACTCAGCAAAAGCCCATTCATATATCAACACCCAACACTTCAAGTCTAATGCCAATGGTACTTTATACAAGGCATGCGGGTATGAAGGCATGCTGGCATTGGAGCACGGAATCACTTCTGCACCATCACACCAGAGACTACCCCACATAGTAGCGAGCCCAGAAACTAGTCGGGTTCCCCTTTTCCTTTCTCAGCCAGCATCTTGCATCTTTCCCGTTGGTCTACATACACACTCATTACCACCCATTTTGTGTCTGAAGGTTAGCAAGGCACTCAAGGCTAAGGCTAATATATTGCCGACGGAAATGTAGCTATACCTATCGGCGGCCATTGGTACAGAATAGCGGTCTGCTCAGGCTATCGCGATACTCATCGTATACCGATTTTCCAATTTCTTCCTTGTACTGGCTCAGCATTCCAGTGACATTTCTGATGGTAACCATCCTGAGGGAAGGCAGTCTTGAAATAGCGACGACCAGCTGCGGCTTGACCGGCAATAAGGTGTTCAAATCAACGCGTCTCAGACGAGCACTGAAGATTGGGAGCTCGGCCATCAGCCTGCTAATCTCGCCATCAGAGCGATTAAGACTGTCTCCTTCGTCTGATCCGATCCCATCAATTCCAATCCTAATGAGCCCTGGGAAATGAGCCAGGACCTGCTGGAATACGCTGAGGGTAGGTATAATCTTCCTGATGATTAGGTGCCGAAGGTGCGGGTTCGAGTGGTTTGGCGGGATGATAGACGGCAGAGACCGGCCGAAGCTGAGCAGGCTGTAGCAGTTCTCGATATACTCCGCATTGGGCGCAACCAAAAACGGCAGATATGTAACCTCAATCACATTGCCTATAGCATTGGAAGCAGCCGAGAAGTCAGTGCTCCGAATACGGACATATTTGAGGTTAGGGAACACACGGCCACGAAGCGATCTGAAAATGGGCACAGTGAGGTGCATCGTAAGCGATGTTAGATTTTCACCACAGTCGTCGGCCAGAACACCAATGTCAATGTCACAGCGTGTGTTCAAGGAAAGGCTAGTCAGCAATGGAAATGGGTTGACATCTGGCATATGAAAATGCCCTACCACGTGCGGTCCCGTCTCGATGGATAGGCTGGTGAGTTCCGGGTACGTGTTACAGAATAAGGATTCCAGGTCGTCGGATATATCCCCTTCAGCTTGCCACGGGCTGAGATCCAGCGATATATGAAGCACAAGCTCTTCGATAGTATCCCTGTTTGAATGAACAATCGGACATTCAAAAGAATGGCCAATTTCGAGGTACACCCGCTGAATCCCAGCGCTGAAGCCACCATGCAGAACGGCATTTGCATTCGCCAGGTCGCGGAATATTAAGGTTCTCGGTGCTGGAAAGAGAATACCCATTAGGTCTCTGTACATGTCCTCCTTGCCGATCCACAGCCCCGAATGAACAGTGAGCGAGCAGTCCTGTGCGTTGGGAAACAGTTGGCGGGTGCGCTCAATGAATCGCCTGACTTTTGCGGAATAGTCGCCGTTAAAAAATATCTTGCTGCTGTAGAAATAGAGCACGATCTCAGTCACGTTTGGGAAAGTCGCGGTGGAAAGAGCGCCAGCACTCAGCAAGCGGGTGGAGATGCCGTCAATAATGCGGTCGAGTGAAAGGTAGAAATGTGCTGAGCGAACAAGTTGGCTGTGTCCAGCAGCGGCTGCCATAAAGAGGTTTGGGCAATCCATCTCAGGGTAATAATCAGATACATCCAACACAGGCCCTAGAAGTGTTTCGGTGCTTTGGTAAAAGTAGGGTAGCGCTGCAGTTCTCCATGAGCGACAGACCTGCGCAATTGAAAGAAGCGACTTGGTACCATCAACCACCTTTTTGTGACCCAACCTTTCCCACTCGTTCTTCAGCTTCCTGCCATACTCCACGCAATCGAAAATAGGATAGAGAATGTCAGGTGGGACGTTTTGTGCAGGGAATACCGTCGAGTCCATAGCAGCAAATATGTGATTGATGATAGAGGTAGAGGTAGAGGACAGATTTTAAAATCAACTGAAATGAAAGTTTATCTCCTTGATGTGGAGTCGGCTAGTTAGGGTAGGTCATGGGGTTGCAATGAATACGGCTTGTTCAGACAGCAGAACTGCGAGTATTACTCCTTAGGACACACCTGTAGATGGGCCCCAATGTACGACAAAAGATGCTGGCTACTGCACTCAGTCAACTCACTAGCCAAGCCGATATACAAAAGCGCTTTCCAATATCTTCTCCAGGCCAGTGTTTCTTGCCAACTTGCAGTTTTTATGTTGTTATTGTACAGTTAACTGAAGCCTATTAATACAAGGTATATGTGCAAATGATGTTTTCTTGAAAGAGGTGACTGTTGACACCGGATGATTAAAGCACCGTCAGGAGCGGGTTTATTCTTGAGAATGAGAAGGCGCGGCTGTTTACTTTGAGGAAGCCTGAATTCATCCTCACTTAGATCTGACATGACGAAAAGCACAGCTGAAGGTTGTTTGGGTGGAGCTGTGTTTTGACGGATAGATTTCAGGAGTGGTTTAGGATTCGTAAGGGTCATGTATACCACCGCTGGTATCCTGGGTTTGATGCTGTAAAGGCTTCAGCGAGTTTTATGTCCATATCCACACTAGCCAGTCTACCCCGTCGGTGACTGCTGTTTTTCAGATGATAGTCCTTGGCTCGCTGACGACTGGTACCAGGTGTTCTACCTGTTTGCAGTGCCAGGATGTGATTGCAGAAATTCTATAGAGCATATTGGATATATTGATGGTATCAAGTCTATTGAGCTGTGTTGAGGCGTTTTTTGTGAACAGGGAACTTCTTTGGTTCCAGGGAGAGACTCGCTCGCTATAGAGAAATTGAGCGGCTGCTGTCATGCCAAAAAATTTCCCCTCGCCAGTATTTTCACTCATCAACATTTTTGCTCCTGGCGGCTTAGAGGCAAACCTGCCTTGTTGCATAACTGATCCTGATCCTTAGATCCACGCCACAGTGCATACGCAAGAGTATAGTGGCCCCACTATATAGTTCAGTACACGCCAGCGCGTCAGCAGCCCTCCTTAGTTTCTTTACTGTCACTAGTTATATACCACGTTAAGTTACCAGTATCACAACATGCCTTGTTTTTCGCTGTTTCACCTCCTCTTTTTGAATGCACCAAATGTGCATAGATGGCAATAGAAATAGATCCGCACAGTACAGCTCCTTATGGACAATGGTACTCTCATCCCAAGGTCCAGCTGCAGCCTCAACAGAACTAGTACTGGAG